CAGAGCACTGTGGTGTGTTCCCAGGGTGCCCTAAGGGTGGGCAGGGAACATTTTAGAACAGCAGCACTGAGGGGGCATTTCTGAGAGTTCCCCAAAAAACCACTTCAATATTTCCCTACTCACTCAATCTTACAGCTTAAAGTGAAGTTCTAAACTAAAAAAAGGGCCCTCAAGTGTCTGTTTTAACAGTTCTCCCTATCCCAGAGGTAAATCCATCCCTGACCTTGCTGCTCCTCTGTGTACAGACATTTCTTCAAGGAAAGACACCCTTTCCAAAAACATTCCCTTCCCAAGGTCCACAAGAACTCTTAGCAAAGTAAAAAGTTATTAAATATAAGGGAAAAAAAACAGAGAGGGAACTGCCAAGCACAGGTGTTCAAAAGGACATAAAACTGCCATGAGAAATAGCTACCAAAGCCAAATAGAGAGGTTTTGACCATATTATTGTCTCTCTGATGAGGTGGTGGCTCAGCTTTTTTAGGGCCTCCCAACCTCAACATTCAAATTCACCTTTCAGTTTCTCTGAGAACAGTCTTTTTTTAGGGCACAGCGATTAGAACCCAATACCCACAGCTGGGAGAAATTAAAAATATTCCCTGCTCTGGGGCTGTTTTGTTCCAGCACGAGGAAGGTCACACAGCTGGGCCTCTGCCTGTTCCCACCACAGCTCACCCTGCAGATAAGGGAGAGCAAATTAAATAAAGGCCCACTCTGACTCCAGGCCAAGTTTTGCTTTCTCCAAAGGTTTAAACCCCCCCGTTTTGGGTTAATTTGGAGGCAGGAAAGCTCCAGCTGGTGCCTGTCGAAGGGGCTCAGCTGAGCTGCACGTTATCAGCCCCCCAAATTTATCTGCAGCACAAGAGGCCTTTCCCTACCCTGCCCTGCCAGACACACACCCCGGAACGTGAGGGAATCCGGGTCCCACATTCCACAGGCTGCACTCCAGCCCTGCAATTCAGGATCCCAACCAAGGGCTGCACTAACACAACCTTTTACAAGTGCTCAAGGGCTGCAGGTCAAGGATCCAACTTCTTATCACCCTCTGCCTGCTCCTTTCCAGGTGCTGGGCAGCACCTTCTGGAGCCTCCTCTGCTGCCCAGGGGAGCTGGATCTGACCCAGCACCAGGAACTGCTCCCACTTTTCAGAGCCTCGGGAAGCCAAAGGCATTTCACCACGTTTACAAACACTCCAGAATTACAGGATCATGGGTTGGGGTTGGAAGGACCTCAAAGCCCCTCCAGTGCCACCCCCTGCCATGGGCAGGGACACCTTCCACTGTCCCAGGGTGCTCCAACCCGGCCTTGGACACTTCCAGGGATCCAGGGGCAGCCACGGCTTCCCTGGGAAATCCATTCCAGCCCCTGCCCACCCTCCCAGCCAAGAATTCCTCCCAGAATCCAACCTAAACCTACTTTCAGTTTGACACCTCAGGGTTTGCAGCCCTGAGTGTCACACACATTTCTGTGGGACACCCCCCAAGTGCCACCCAGCCCCGAGCTCCCGGGGTGTCCCTGCAGGAGGGGACAGGAGCAGCTGCCCCTGCAGCCCAGCCCTCCTGGGCCAGTCCCAGGGGAGATTACATTTCTGGCTGTTTGCTGTGGGGAGGAGGGAGACAGAGCTTAGATTTAAAGTCCTGATCAGCTGAGCATGAACGTGGAAGATCAAAGGGTCACTCAGCACACAAGCTAAGCTTTCCCTCATTGTCCTTGAACAAAATTCCTCTCACTCCAAACTGTGGAGTAAAAAAAATGCCTGCCTGTCTGCCTCCCACTCTATCCCCAAGAGCCACGGCTGAGTTTCACTGCTGGACAGTTTCTGCACTCCAATGTTTGGAGATGAAAAGCTCTAAAGAGCAGCAAGATAAATAAAACTGCAGTTTATTAAAAGAGCCTCCCAGATTATTCAGCAGCCCAGCCAAGCTATTTCACAGTCTGGTCATGCCTGCAGTGAAAACAGTGGGAGTTTTGGGAACAGACACAAGCCCTGCTAAGAGTAAGGAGACATTATGAAATGGAGCTTTCCCCTCATTCATGGCAAGGCAGGAAGCCTCTCCTACCACTGTGAATCATCCAGAGAGCAGGAGAGCACTTCAAAACAACCACCCCTGTGCACTGCCAGCCCTGGAATAGGGCATGGAAAGGGACACAGGGAGAGGGAGTCACTCAATGATCCCCAAAGCAACTCAAAGCAGGAGCTGCAGCTCCAATCAAACCTGTTCCGTACCTGCTGCTGCATCCTCCTCCTCCTCCTCCCACTGCTGGGACCCCACAGCTTCTCCTGGAAAACACACACAGCAGGGATGGAGGGATTATCCTCTTTAGGATCCCTCCCTCACACACAGAAGTTTCATTCCCAGTTTTCCCTGTGATTCCCAGTTTTATCAGTGCTGATGGGGCTGGGGGAACCCCCTGCCCAAGGGGTGCTGCAGGAGCTGGGACTGGAGTGTTCCAAGGGACACACCTGGGGGACACCAGGAATTGGGATTCACGCTGGGTGATCCCACCTGGCTCATCCTAAGGGATGAACTCGTCTCTCCTCCCACGCACAAAGACATGGATTCAGGAATTAACCAACATCAGAGACTCAGGAGGATTTCCCAGAGTAACATGGGCTAAAAAATCAGATGTAAAACATGGAATAAAGGAACACTATCTTGCTCAGGAGAAGGTGTTAAAGGAAGCTTTATGTTTTCAGGAGAGGCAGAGCCCCTGGTTTCCCAGTTTGCAGCAATTAAAGCTCCAGTTCATGCACCAGCTCCTGCCTGGCAGCTCCCACAGCTCTGCCTCCCTCTCCTCCTCTGAATTCAATGGGAGAAAGTACCAAAAACGTGCTATAGAAACAGAACCTCACAGAAAGGGCTGGATTTGGCACCAAGAAATATTATTCCCTCACAGGTCTGAGGCAACCCCAAGACAAACTCCCCTCCCAGAAGTGCTGCTGAGCTTTTCCAGACCCTGGAATTGCAGCTTTGGGAAGCACAGGTAACCCTGACTGTGGGTAACAACTGGCACAGTGTAATTAGGAAAAAACACAGGGGCTGAAGAAAATCACCTACTTGGCTCGCCCTGGAGCTCAGGGAGCCAGGAGTTCATATGGGAAGGAGCTTTCTTTTGCCATGAATAATTAGAAAAGCAGGAGTTTCAAAGGAAATCAGCAGTTCCAGCTGGCACAGGAGCCCAGGAACAGCCATTTTGCAGCACTTTCTAACAGGACACGAGTCCCACAGAGCACCAAGAGTGCTCACCCCAAGCTTTAATTATGGTTGCTCCAACTAAGATAATGTTTTTTTCCTAATTAGAGGCATAAACAGGTTTTTTTTCCCCCCCTCTAATTAGAGGTATAAAGGCCAGTGATGATATCCCACAATTAACTGGTGTAAAAGCCACAGCTCCCATTTTGTGATGTCCCCCATCCTCCATCCATCCCATAATGACAATTTGCCCTCAGTTTGGTGGCTTTTTGGCTCCCTCAGCATTCAGGCTCAGAGCTCACCGGCCTCCCAGGAATGAAAGGCAGGATGAAGCTGCCAGTTGGATGGATATTTGATCCTGGAGTGTGTCAGGCCATCCCAACAGTCACTCCATGGACCAAACTGGTTGGATTTCCTCTCCAAATGTTTTGCCCAGCTCTGGCTCTTATTTCCACCTTGCTCTTTATCTTAAGGCTCCTTATTTCCCTGACCTTTGCTGCTCCTCCAAACACACTCCACCCTCCAGGCTGGGGTGACAGTGGCTTCTCTGTTCCCTTCCTCTGATTTTCACTTTGGATCCAAACAGGCACATCCCTAAATCATCCCCCCCCCCCACGGTGATTGGGGATCACTCTTTAATGAGCAAAGATAAATCTCTGTACTCACATATAACCTGTTTTTAACACCCCACAACCTGTTCCTGTGCCCAGGACACTCCTGCCAGCTGGAAGCTGAGCTCCAAGGGCTGGGAATGGTCGCCCAGAGTGGGATGGAGAAGAGCAAGTGCCAAAAAGGATCAGGTTCCACCTTCCCTTCCCACTTCAGGGTCCTCCTGGGTGACAAATGTTTCCTACACCTGGGAGGGTTTGTGTCACCAGGCTGGGCAAGGAGAGCAGAGTTCTCCTCCAGGAGCAGACTGGATTGACTGGGAAGCAAGGAATTAACTCCAGTGCCAGGCAGTTGGAGAGCTCTGCCCAGACTGGAAGGAATGTATTAAAGGAGCAGACCACGAATCCAGAAAAATAACCCATTTTGGCAGGGACAGGGCGAGGGTGGCACAAAAATATCCTGCCTATCAATAGGCTTTATTCCTGCCAGGGCAAAATGTGCTTTTACTGGAGCTATTTAATAATTAGATTATCCTATGAGACCCAGGGGAGGGAGGGGACCAGGAAGTGGGGCCATAATCAGCTGGAACCGAGTGAAAAACCTCTGCTTTCAGCAAAAAACTCAGCCTGGATCTTTTCTTTTTTTTTTCCATCACAATTTAAAAAAGGAAAGATGTAGGCCAGGCTGGGCTGACCTTGCTCCTGATGCCAGGAAACACAGGCTCCACTCATGTCTGCTGCCAGAGCCCCAGGGAAGAGTGCAGGGATCCTGCTCGGGCCCAGGGATCCTGCTCAGGCCCAGGGATCCTGCTCAGGTCGCTCAGGCTCTGCCCAAAAATCCAGCCAGCAAACAGCAGCCATTCCCAGTTATCCCACAGGAAAAGTGCCCTTGTGGGAATAACCCAACCCAGAGACATCAAACTGGATCAGGAATTCCTCAGTCTGTCCAAGAGATCCCTGGTGCTGCTCTGTCACCTGCACCTAAAGCCAGGTATTGAAATGATGAATCAGGAACCAAAGCAGAGGGAACCCACCTCTCCTCACCTTCTGGAGATGGGGAAGTGAAAGCAGCAGCTACCCTGGATCTTCACATCTGGAGATTCCCAGCTCTCCAGCTTCATCCCAACCTTTGGGTAACTCAACCCCCCAGAGCTGGGCTGAGATGGCACCTAAAAAACAAGTGAGATTTATTAAAATGTAGCAATTCAGGTAGTTTTTATGGTGTATTTTCATTCTATAAGAGCTTCTCTCAGTTGCTTTAAATACACTTCAGTAAATTCACCCTGCAGGAAGAGATCACAGCAAACAACACACACAGAGTTACAGGGAATTATTCTAATTTATAAACATGATTTATAAGGCGACTGAGAAACCTCAGGGACTCTACGAACGTTTATTCTGCTTCCTAACAATTCCTAATTTATATCACCACTATTATAGTGATGGCAGCTCACTCCCTGCCAGGTCTCCAGAGCAAGTGGGAACCAAGGCCTGGAAAGGTTTCAGATTCCATGAGATCTTCAGGACCAAAAGATCTCTGATGAACCAGTGGCAATCTGGCACCTGCCTATATTTAAATAAAAAAGGATTTAAGAACCAAACCCCACTTTTGTGTCATTTTAAGATGAAACCCCATCATCAAATTTGCCAAACTTGAGGCGTCCTGTGCAGGGCCAGGAGTTGGACTTGATGTTCCCTGTGGGTCCCTTCCAGCACAGGGAGGTTTTGTGAGCCTGCTCTTCTAAACTTTCTGGTTCAGCCTCAAAAAGATCCTACTTAAAATATTCTGAGAGTTTAAAGAAGTCTGTTTTAAGAAGGTTATTAAGAGGAGCTGAAACCCCGCTGGGATCCCGGGGAGCAGCAGCTGCCCCAGCTCTGCATCCTGGAGAAACTGCTCCCAGACTTCATTCCCTCCATCCACTGACATCTAGTGGTGGTGGCACCATGACAGAACCTCCAGCTGCTCCAGTTCCACTTCCCTTTGTGCTTTTCCCAAGACAGACCTGCAGCTTCACCTCCAACAATTCCCAAGAAGGTTGGAAGGACCTCAAAGCTCATCCCCTTCCACCCCCTGCCAGGGGCACCTTCCACTGGATCAGGTTGGTTAGAAATTAGGCAGAATTCCTGCATTTATGGGTTTTTTTCAGATTTGCAAATGAGTTCCCTGAAATGACCGGACTGGAGCTGTTCACACTCCCATTGTTCTCCTGGGCTGCTGATTTGCACCCAATGCTTCACATACCACACCAACTGCTCCCCAGTTCCTCCCTGCTGGGATAAGAGCCCAGGGATTTCATCCCTTCTCCAGGTTTGCCCTTCAGCATTTCACAGGAGGCTGGATACATCTACGGGAAATGACAACCTGGAGTGAGAAAAGCAGCATCACTTGCACAACTAAGGATGACAAACCCTCACGAGGATTACAGGATTAAGCCCTGAGAAATTCATAATCCCTAAAGATAACACCAGAGCTGGAAAGGAATCAGGTGTTTGACTAAATACCTTTTTCTTCCCCCCCAAGTCTTTACATAAATCAATTTATTGTGGTTGATACACAATGTTGTCACACTAAAACACGAGTTCAGAGGAGGTGATGGAGCAATTCCTGCTCTGGAGCCAGGCTGGGAGAGCTGGGGGTGTTCACATGGAGAAGAGAAGGATCCAGGGATACCTGAGAGCCCCTTCCAGGGCTTAAAGGGGCTCCAGGAGAGCTGGAGAGGGACTGGGGACAAGGGATGGAGGGACAGGACACAGAGAATGGGTTTAAACTGAAAGAGAGTAGGATTAGATGGGATTTTGGGAAGGAATCCCTCCCTGTGCGGGTGGTGAGGGGCTGGGATGGATTTCCCAGAGAAGCTGTGGCTGTCCCATCCCTGGAAGCGTCCAAGGGCAGGTTGGAACAACCTGGGACAGTGGAAGGTGTCCCCGGGGTGGAACTGGGTCTTTAAGGTCCCTCCCAACCCGAATCATTCCATGATTGTCCACAATTATGGATTAGTGAACTCGCCCGGCCAGAGCCGCCACACAGCTCCTCAGAGACACCCGAGACAGAACCACACCGGCAAAACCCACCAAAAATCTCCCCCCCCCCCCCCCCCCGCCAACATTTTGAGAGCAGAAAGCTCAATTAACGACAATTAACGATAATCCACCTCCCCGCGCGCGCGCCGCGGCCCCGCCCCAGCGCCCAGGCCCGCAACAGGCCTGTCCCTGAGGGGAGGCGGCGGCAGGGCCGGGAACCCAACCGCTCCCCGCCCTCGCCCGGCCCCGGCAGCCCCGGCACTCACCGCCCTCCTCCGACCCTCGCCCCGCGGCCCCTCAGCCCGGCCCGGCCCCGCCGCTCCGCCTGCCCGAACCCAACATGGCGCCCCCCGGCACCGCCACCCGCCCCGCGCCTCGCCGGCTTCACGCCCTCACTCAAAATGGCCGCCGCCACAGCGCCCCGCGCCAAGAGAACCCGGCCCGGATCAAAGATGGCGGCGCGCGGCTTCACTGTCGGCGGCGTCACGGTGATGCTTTGCCCGCCTCCAAGATGGCTCGCGGTCACGTGACGAGGGGTGTGGGCCGCGTCCCGGCGGAAACGTGAGGGACCGAGCAGGGAACGGCAGCTGGAAGCGGCGGGAGCGGGGCTGGCGCCGCCGGAGCAGACGTGCCGCAGGGCGGGAGACACGGCTGTCACCACGGAGCCCGCGAGCGCTAACACGGCGGCGGCTACCGCCGCCTCGCGGGCCGCGGGCGCCGGGGACCAGGCGAGCTCGCTGCCCCCGCCCAGGATGCAGCGCAGGAAGGTGAGCGCGGCCGGGGAGTGGGGAAGGCGGCTGGTGGGGGGTACCGACGAGCTTGGCCCGCAGCTTTCTACCCTTCCCCAGCCCCTCCGCTGCCTCTCACGGGCACAAAACTGGGGGGAAAATAGCGGCCTTGAGCCCCCTGCGCCCGCCTCCCGCGCTCTCTCATTGGCTCTCGCACGGGCACGCCGCGCGCTGATTGGCCGCCTTGCCTGTCACTTATCGCCCCCAACGGCTGCCGCTCCCCCTCCCCCGCACAGGCAGCGGGTTCCGCCCTTTGACGCTTCCGATTGGGCAGGCCGCCGTAGAGCTGATCGCGTATTGGTTGGGCTGCAGTGCGGGGCTTGCCGCTGATTGGACTTCGCGGCTGTCCATCCGCCCCCAACGGTCACCTCCCCGCGCGTGCCCTGTCCCCCCTCCCATATCTAACTCCGCCCCCCCGGTTGATGTTGCCGTGGGAGCAAGCGTCGCGCTGATAAGCCGACTCTGCCGTCATTCACGCGCGGCTGCCCCGCCTTTTACGCTTCTTCGAGCCGCCATTGGCGGGCCCTCCCTTTCGCCCCTCCCACTCGCGCTGCCATTGGCCGAGGCTGGCAGGGCTCCGCTGGGTGCAAAACAAAGCGGCGCGGGGGCCGCGCTCCCGCCACCGGCGCGAGGCCTCCCCCCCCCTCCCCTCATGGCGGCCGCCCTCCCCCGCTCCCCTCACAGCGCCCGCCATCGCCGTCCCCTCACGGCTGTGCGCCCACAGGAGTCCCGCCGGGGATCTCACCGTACCCCGAACGACATTCCGGTTGTCCCCTCAGCGCGTCGTGGTTTTAAACCCAGGTGGAAATTTAGCGCCGCGCTGCCGCTCCCTCATCCTCCCCCCCCCGTCAGTGTTTACCCTCCAGCTTCTAGGTTCAGATAAAAACAGTTTGATAATAAAAAACGAAGTAAAATATAATAATAGTGGTAAATACTAATAAAAAGGGGCAGCTGGAGGGACAAGATGAGTGGGAAGGACCCACCAGGCCCATCCAGCCCAACTCCTGGCCCTGCCCAGGACACCCCAAGGGATGAGGTGGGAACCTTCCCCATGGGGGAAAAACAGATCATGGAATCCCAGGCTGGAAAAGACCTCCAAGATCATTGAGCCCAACCTGTGACCCAACACCATCCTTTGCTTTAATAACACCCAGTGCTCCCGTGACTTTTCCTTGGGGATCAGTTTGCAAGAAGCTTCTTATTAAAGGCGCTGATGCTGCATATTTATTAAACCAATACATTTTTAGTTGAATTTACCCATCTAACATCTCCTGCCATCCCTGGAAGTGTCCAAGGCCAGGTTGGAGCAGCCTGGGTTGGTTGAAGGTGTCCCTGCCCATGGCAGAGGGGTGGGACTGGATGAGCTTTAGGCTCCTTCCCACCCAAACCATCCCATGATCCCATGAAATATTTTCCATAATATCCAATTGAGGTGCTCCCCGCTAACGTGGGGGCTGTGCCGTTGCAGAGGAACGCAGGCAGCAGCTCGGATGGGACGGAGGACTCGGATTTTTCCACGGATCCCGAGCACACGGACAGCTCGGAGAGCGACGGCACGTCCCGGAGATCCGCCCGCGTGACGCGCTCCTCGGCCAGGCTCAGCCAGAGCTCCCAAGGTAAAGGTCCTGCTTCAAAAACCCCCAAAGAAATTCAGCCTCTTCAGCAAAAAAAAGGCTCAGTGCACTCTGTGTTTAGAACCTAAACGTGTAGGATTTAAACATAAACAGGATTTTGTATTCATTTCTTTGGCTGTTATTGGCACAGCAAAAAGCACCTTTACACGTACATATTGTACAGGTGGGGTTGTGTAATCTAAAGGTGATGGAAACCAAAACACAAGTGTCCTCTGTTCAAAAGATAAAGCTGACAAATTGTTGAGGGAAGGAGGAGTCAAACCCCATAATTCCACTGCCAGCTTTGCTTCATTTTTCTGAGAACTCTAAAAGTCTCCTTTCCATTCCTTTGGTGCTGGAGCCAAGCGAGGGAGAGGGGGTTTAGGGGTGAAAGTTGGGTTTATCTCCTTTATTTGTTTGTTTGGGGGGTTCTGTGCCTGAAGGGGAGATGTATTTTTGTGCTGTGCTGCCCCTGCTGTGCGATAAACCTTACCAAATATTGGCAGTTATTTTGTGTGCTCCTACTTTGGCACCCAGGCTGTAAAAGGAGACATGGAATGAGTCCACCTCCTCTTTTTTTAGTGTTAGTGTGGGCAGTTTTTGGCTGTTAGTTCATGTGTTGCCATCTGGCATCACAGGGAGGAAATGACAGCAGATAAAACCTTATTTCCATTGCTCCTTGTAGACACTTTGATTGAAAAAAAACGTGGTTTGTGACAGATTTTATTGCAGATAAGAAATACATGTGTGTGGTCATGTGGTAATTAGATCTTAAAAAGGAGAGGGAAGGTGTGTATGGAATATCTGTAATATTCCTGGGTTAGGACAGCATTATTTTAATGCAAAATAATTGTTTTATATATATTCCCTGCCCATTGCAGGGGTTGGAACTCGATGAGCTTTATGGTCCCTTCCAACCCAAACCATTCCACGATTCTTATGATGTAATGATTCTTATGTGTAGGATCACAAACCCACACACAAATCCAAATCCCAAATCAGCTACAAATCCAAATCAAATCCAGATCCCAGAATAGCTACAAATCCAAATCCAGATCCCAAATCCAGGCCCACACTGGAAGCCATCCTGCTCTTCCCAGGGCTTATCTAAACACCGATAGTTCTTATCTAAACTAACGGATCTTCAGCTTTCCAGAGGGAGCTGCTTGATAATTACCGGTTAATTAAGTGATTAAGTCCCGAGAAAGCTGATGTCATTCCAGACTGCCCAGTGTGGGTGAAATCCCACAGATTTTATCTGGGAAGGCCAGAGCGGGGTGAAAGTGGCAGGATAGAACTCTGCTGTTCCAGAGGTCTTCCTCCTCCTCCTCCTCCTCCAGGGCAGGCTGTGGGGCTGGGCAGGGTGTGGGGGCTCTGGGCAGGGTGTGGGGCTGGGCAGGGTTTGGGGCCTGGCAGGGTGTGGGGGCTCTGGGCAGTCCCTGCTGGTTCTGGGCCGTAATTCCTGTGTTCCCTGGGCTCAGACTCCAGCCCGGTGCGGAACCCCCCGTCGCTGGGCCCGGAGGAGCCGGTGTACTCCACGCGCAGGGTGACCCGCAGCCAGCAGCAGCCCGCTCCCGTCACCCCCAAGAAGTACCCGCTGCGCCAGACCCGCTCCTCGGGCTCCGAGACCGAGCAGGTGGTGGATTTCTCAGACAGAGGTGAGTGCCGGGGAAGAGCTCTGGGAAAAACCCTCCTCCCGGGGTATCCCCAGGGCTGGGGGTTGGAGCAGCTCTGGGCTCCGGGTGTGCCTTTCAAAGCCTTTTCCCGGATTTGTGACGTATCCTTTGTTATCCGTGTCCTTGTCCAGACACTAAAAACGCGGCGGATCACGACGAGTCCCCCCCTCGCACTCCCACCGGGAACGCCCCTTCCTCGGAGTCGGACATCGACATCTCCAGCCCCAACGTATCCCACGACGAGAGCATCGCCAAGGACATGTCCATGAAGGATTCCGGGAGCGACCTCTCCCACCGGCCCAAGCGCCGACGCTTCCACGAGAGCTACAACTTCAACATGAAGTGTCCCACTCCTGGCTGCAACTCCTTAGGTAATTCCAACACAAAATGTCCCACTCCTGGCTGTAACTCCTTAGGTAATTCCTGGATGTAACTCCTTAGATAATTCCAACACGAACTGTCCCACTCCTGGTTTTGACTCTTTAGGTAATTCCAGCTCCAGGATCGATCTGCTGGGCTTTGCATTCCTGCTGTGGTATTCCAAGTTGAGTTATACGCCCTAAAAACCATGGAGTTAATTAGGAGCAGGAATATTAAGGAGAAGTGGGATAAGAAGCCTAAATGCAGGTGTGTCTGCAGGGCTATTCCTGGAGGTGTTTTCTGCCTAGGAGTGATGGGGAATGACAGGATAAGGACCAAAATAGGAGGATGAGCCCAGGGGTGGGAGGAAAATGCAGAGTCTTGCAGGCAGGGAACTGATTTTTGCCAGAAATAGGTTTCAGCCCCAAATTCCTGCTCCACTGTACCTGGCTGCTTGCAGGGAGGGCAGCATGAGAAAGATTTTCCTTCCTTTTGCCACAAAGCAGGAAGTTTGCTCCTTCCATCCCACTGAGCCTGCTCATGTGAGGGATCTGGGAGAGTTTTGAAACCTCTTTTTGATTATTTCTTACAAGCTGGGTTGTTTTTGTGCCCCTCTGCAGGACACCTGACCGGGAAGCACGAGCGACACTTCTCCATCTCGGGGTGCCCACTGTACCACAACCTCTCAGCAGATGAGTGCAAGGTGAATGTTTGGCCTTGTTTTACCTTCTGCTTTATCCTCCCGAGGGATTTGTAGGACAAAATGCCAAGATTCAGAATTTTTGAAGGGGAAACAGAGCTGGCACAGTGGCACAAAGCTGATGTCTTTGGCTGTGAGGCAGCAGTGTTTGTGTGTCAAACCCAGTTCAGAACATTCACCTGGAAAAGGAAAGGGATGACAAGAG